TGCCTACAAAATACAATCACTCCACTTTACAGTTTATGCTGTGAAGCTCTTTGAGATGAGAAAGAAGTATTTCAAATGTAATGATTAAGAATTATTATTATTTCTAAGTTTATAACCATGTGAAAAAATTCATAAACCAAAGCAAGGTGTCAAATGTACAAGAACATATTCATAATTTTACAATTTAAAAAAAATATGAAAAACTAATTAATTTTGAAAGAACACATGGTACTAAAACCTTTTTTCAACTATTAAAACACTGTCCAACATTTCTGAGATAGAAAATAAAAGCCATAACTGTAATGTTAAAAAAAGGAGTTTTCCCTGGACTCTCCTGCTTAAAATTGTGAATCAAACCTATTTTCAATTGTCCTTTTTAAAACAGGTCTGAATTTATCAACTCAGAAGACAGATTAAAAACAGTGGTAGACGCACAGACTTGATGGGCTAAATTACCTATTTCTCTGCTGAAAACATTCTTATGAAACTTTCTAAACAAAGCAAGAGCTAGGCTGACAGTAATATCTGATGTCTTTCATAGTGAATAAAGACAGTAGACAAGAAAAACCTTTATACAATGTCGCCATCAGAAAAGAGTATAGGTGCCGATTGGCTCAGTTAGAAACATTCTCTCCTCTGGATTCGAACTTGAGCTCATAATTTGGGAAACTTCCTTGTATCATCCTAAAGAAGCACCACATTGTTGGAGGTGCTGTCATTCAGATGAGATGTTAATTCTGGTCCCATCTGCCTCTTCAAGTAATAATAATAATAATAAAAGTACATTAAAGACCCCATAACCTACTGAAAAAGAGAATGGAGTTTATCCTGACATGCTGGCCAAAATTCCCCAGTTAATTTGGTAACCTACTATATATAATGTTTTGCATTTCTTGGGACGTCCTCCCGGCGTTAAAGGCGCTATACAAATGTAATTTTGTTGTTGTTTATAGCTATTTGTGGGTCCTTGCTGCACGCAAATTAGTGACTGTATGTGCGTAGAAATACACAGTCACGAATCACAACAGCAGTTATTTATGAAGTGCTTTGAAATATTCTGACATTATAACTGCTATATCAATTGGAAGGAATATTACTATTACGTTTCAAGTAGTATACTCAAAAAGAAAACTGTTACCATATTGCATAAAGTAAATTATTTTAATCTTATTAAATGAACAGGTAGAACTTTGACTAATTTTCATCTGTGCAATGCCTTCCTTTACTGAAAAATTATTAGTCAACATTTTAACAGCAGAGTATCCCTTTTTATATAATTCAAAACTGTATGTTGCCATTTAATTTGTTTAGAAACAAATTTCAAAACATTACATACAACATGCTTCACGTTCAATGATTTATTGCAATATTCTACGCATTATATCACTGCTATGACGAAGAATATGTTTGAATGGCACAAGCCTTTTCATCAAACTAGAGATCAACACCCATGTTAATCACAAGAAATCGTAGTGCGGTATTTAGGGGAGCACAATATAATTAGGCCAAGTCAACATTGCTTTACAAAAGGGAAGTCATGTTTGACAAATCTTATAGAGTTTTTTGAGGACATTTCCAGTAAACTAGATAAGGTGAATCAGTGGATGTGGTCTATTTGGACTTCCAGAAGGCATTTGATAAGGTGCCGCATAAAAGGTTAATCCAAAAGATAAGGGCCCATGGAATTGGGGGGAGCATATTAACATGGATTGGGGAATGGTTAACAGGTAGGAAACAAAGAGTAGGGATAAATGGGTCCTTTTCGGATTGGCGGGATGTGACTAGTGGAGTGCCACAGGGATCAGTCCTTCGGGCTCAGCTATTTACCATTTACATCAACGTTCTAGATGAGGACATCGAAGCTAATATATCTAAATTTGCAGATTGTCATCGCAGATTGTCAAAACTAGGAGGAAGTGCCAACACAGAGGATGACATTAAAAAAATGCAGCGAGGACATAGATAGGTTAGGTGATTGGGCAGGTAGGTGGCAGATGAAGTATAATGTAGGGAAGTGCGAAGTCATCCACCTAGGTAGCAAAAACAGTAGAGCAGGTTATTTTTTAGAAGGGGAGAGATTGAAATGTGTTAGCGTCCAGAGGGACTTGGGTGTCCTTGTACACCAATCACAGAAAGTTAGTCTGCAGGCGCAGCAGCAATTAGGAAGGCGAACGGTATGTTAGCATTCATTATGAAAGGATTAGAGTATAAGAGTAGGGAAGTCTTGCTGCAACTGTATAGGGCCCTGGTGAGACCACACCTGGAATACTGCATCCAGTTTTGGTCTCCTTATTTAAGGAAGGATGTACTTGCCTTGGAGGGGGTGCAGCGTAGATTTACTCAGTTAGTACCAGGGATGAAGGGGATGAGTTACGAGGATAGGCTGACCAATTTGGGCCTATATTCTCTAGAATATAGAAGAATTAGAGGGGATCTTATAGAAACCTATAAGATCATCAAAGAGTAGATAGTGGGAGATTGTTTCCCCTGGTTGGAGAAACTAAAACCAGGGGTCCCAACCTTAAAATCAGAGGCCAGCCCTTTCACACTGAGTTGAGGAAGAACTTCTTCACTCAAAGGGTGGTGAATGTATGGAACTCACTACCCCAAAGGGCTGTTGAAGCTCAGTCCTTGAACATATTCAAGACTGAGATAGATAGATTTCTTATTGCAAAAGGGATTAAGGGATATGGGATAAGGCAGGGTCGGGTTATTAGCTGGAGTTAGATTAGAAGATCAGCCATGATTGAATGGCGGGGCAGGCTCGAAGGGCCAAATGGCCTACTCCTGCTCCTACATTTTATGTTATCTTAAATCTAGACCAAATCCAAACATCAGTCAAATAGTCGAAAAATGCAAAATCAATACAAGTTCAGGATTGACCTGTTTTCATTATAAAAGAGATCTTTAATGGGGGACCTAATAGAGATGTTTAAAATTATAAAGGGTTTGATAAGTTTAACATAAATAGACTTTCCCCTGGTTGGGGAGTCCATAACCGGGGAAACAAATATAAGATAGTGACTAGGGGACGCAAAAGATAATTTAAGAAGAACTATTTCACGCAGGGCGTAGGGAGACTGTGAAACTTGCTGCCTGAAGCAATGGTTGACGCAGATGTACTCAATCATCAAGTGAAGGATAGGGGAGTAGAAGAGTATGGGAGGGTGTCAGAAATGGGCGAAGACTCGGTGGAGTATAAACGCCGACATGCACTATTTAGTCCTAGTTGCCTGTTTTCGTGCTGTACATTCTATGTAAAAAATCTTTGTACTGAAACTAAACAGGTCTAGTGTTTAAAATGTATCACAATTTTAAGTGAAACCTACAGAGAGACATGTTGGATATAGAACAGGGCTAAGTACCTGCATGGACCAGGAATATTAGTGCAATGATCAGAGGTTTATCTTAAATAATACTCCCTCTTTGGTACTTACATACCAAAAAGTGCTCTGGGACGCCACCCTACCTGAGGGGCGCTATATAAATGCAAGTCGCTGTTGTTATATTATGTTAATATCCATCTTAATTTGAAACAATTTGAAGATAGCCACTTTTACATGGTTTGTTAGAAATAAACCCATAAAAGTAAAATTACCGCTTTGTAAAGCTTTATAAGTGTAGATTTCAACAGAGTTCAATTGGAAGGACAAAACTTAATGTTAACATTAGAAGTACAGACATGTACAAATATGGGGCCCGACTCAAGAATTATGAAAAGGAACTAAAACTGATGAGGAAATCTATTTATGTCTGGGAAAGATTTAAAGAAATACTTCTTCAAATTATAGAATAAAGCACTCCAGAGGCAAAAAGACTTCAAAAGGGTGGCCGTATTCAAGAAAGTTCAAAGGCTAGAAAATGAAATATAACATCGACACTTCAAGTTTCCTGCTTTCTGTACTTCTCTCCACCCTCTCCATTTAGTTTCAATGAATGGGAAGATTTGCAGCTGAAGCTAAGACATTATGTTTCAGTGATCTCAAAGTTTGAGAAATGGCAGCCCTGATTAGTGAGATAGTTAGTATGCAATAAGCCTTATTTTCATTTTAAGCAATTAGAAACAGGGGTCCTTTGTGCAAATGCTCAAGGTACAAGGCTATTGCAGAGCAGTCATCAAATTCCCTTATTGCATTTGAACAAAAAAATAAGAAAACAGGAAATAAAAATAAATACAAAAACAGATAGAGAAACCAAAAAGTGGCAATAAATTGACTGGATTTTTAAAAAAATGTTTCTCAGCAAAACAGTTATCAATTCTCTGATTAGCAGCAATATTAACGACGTTTCAATATTAATGAAATCTTCAAGATTCTCACCATTTGTACAAACTCAGCTCAAATTAATGACTGTTTGAGCACTATTGCTTAAACGTTAAGCACTGATGACATTACTTGCAATTCCTGGAGGTTGTTTCATGAGCGGGTTTGGAATCAAATCAATGCTCTCAAAGATTCATTTCTATTGCACAAAATTGGCAGCAGTCAACATCAACTGCAATATAAATGAAGCACGACACAAACTGTTTTGACCTGGAGGCTTAATTGTGTTGAGAGAAAATGGTTGGCTCTACAATTTATAAGAGTACTAAAATATAGGTTTTTAATAAGAAAAATCACCTTGCTTTGATAGAAAGCAATAAGAAATCAAATCAAATTTTCTTTAGTGGTAAGAGAACTTGTGTAACGGAATCCTGAATATAACTTTTCACACTGTAGTGATTTGGTTTCATGACTGCAATTGGCAATGAAGATTTTAATTAAGGATTTTCATGTTCCACTTGTAATAATCAATTGTTAGCAAGGGTGAAGAATAAGTTATGTTGCAATTTAAAACTAATAATTCAAAATAAAATCCAAATATCAATAGATCATTGGGACTTCCACCTGATGTGAAAGGCGCAATATAAATGCCATTTTTTGATTTTTATTTTGTAAAATGAGAAACCTATCCAACATGCTGAATTAATTATTTGATTGTTGAAGTTATCACAATCTTACCGTCAGAAGGTACAGCAGCAGGAAACACTTCTTTTAACAAGTCACCAAGGCTGTGTGGTTGTCCATCTGGACTGAGTGGTCGAAACAGCTTCTGAATAAACGGTTTCTCGTTTAAAGGCTGAAATGTGCGAAAACAGAATTAGACACCCAAGACCACGATATCGTATCTTGCACAGCAATTATTAGGTGATAACATACTTTGAAAATCTAGAATAAAATACTCAGTGCTGTACTGAACAATTGTTATACGGATTAGCTCAATAAGAAAAAAGGACTGAGTGAAATCTATCCTTAGGGTCTTTTGTGTGCCCTGTCCCCCGCCCCACCCCCCAATGTTTTAGGTAGTTTTAATAGATAGGGTTGTCTTCTAGCACATCAATTGTAAGGATGACTGGTCCAATAAATAGCACCTGTTCAGTTCTGTACTTTTGTGTCAGTCTAGATTATGAGCTAGTTTTACATTTTAAATTTTGATAAGTTGATCCAATTTGTTTCACTCAAGAAAAATACATTTGATTCTGTGCTATAAAGCAGTTATAATGATTTGAACTATGGCGTCTTATTTGACCCTCAACTATCCTTTCTACCCCACATCCATGTCATGACCCGCTTTGCCTTCCCCCACCTCCGCAACATCGCCAGGTTCTGCTGCTGTCTCACACATCCGGCCGCCGAGACCCTCATACATGCTTTTATAACTTCCAAGCTCAATTACACAAACTCCCTGCTTGTCGGCCTCCCCACCTCCTCCCTCGATAGGCTGCAGATAATCCAGAACTCCGCAGCCCGTGTCCTCTCCCGCACCAGGCTCTGTGACCCTATCATCCCCATCCTCGGCCGACTCCACTGGCTTCCCATCACATGGAGGATACAGCTCAAGTTCTCACCTTCAAAGCCCTCCATGGTCTTGCTCCCCCTTACCTCTGCGACCTCCTAACCCCCTACCAACTTGCCCGCTCCCTCCGCTCAGTGGGCTCCAGCCTGCTTCAAGTTCCCCGCCTCGCTCGCCCCACTATTGACGGGCGGGCCTTCAGCCATTCTGCCCCCACCCTCTGAAACTCCATCCCGCAGTCCCTCCGCCTTGCCTCCTCCAGTGCCTCCTTCAAGACCTGTCTAAGACCCTCCTCTTCGACTGTGCCTTCGATCACCCTCCTTCCCCCTCGGCCCTCCATCCTCCCCGATCCTGATCCCCAGCTCGGGTCTGAAACATTGATTGTACAGCGCCTTGGGACGTCCTCCCAATGTGAAAGGCACTATAAAAATTTATTTTGTTGTTGTTGAGAATAACTTATACCATTAACTTTCCACCTTAAAAAGTTATTAATAAATATAATTTTTGCAAGAGCTTTACCTGGTAAGAACAAAACAAAACATTTTTTTCATTGTCACAATGAGAACAGAGTGAGGGCACAGTGAGGTGATTATCTTTCCTCCAAGGCTCCAAGATGCTATCCTGAGTAAAGGGCGCTATATAAATGTTATTGTTCTTTCACAAAATGGAAGATAATTGAGGTTCTATTGTAGCTGTTACTAATATGTATCCATGTCCTAACCTTGGCACTCATTAAGATTACAGAGCAAACCATTATAAGGTCACTTTGGTCCAATATCATAGGTCCAGCAGTATAACAAAGTGCAGAAAAATAGCCGATTTTCAAGTCATACAGATACTGTGAATGCACAACTCGTAATAAGCGACATTATTGTCACTTTCCTCTTCCATCGCACATGCATACCACATAGGAAGTGAGTCTGTGGTGGTAATTTATTTAACACGCCCTAAAGCTCTGGAACAACCCCCCAACGACCCCCAGCTGGTGTCGTGCCCTGGGAAGCTGCCCTGCATGAGGGACGCTGTATAAATACAAGTTGCTTTTTTGTTGTAATTTGGAAGTTGGCCTTTTTTTAGCATTTGGGATGCTAACTTAAAAAGCTAAAAAGCCCTGTAAGCAAACCTGCCTTATAAGCTGGTGTCTTCTAACAGCATTACCCTGTAACTTCTAAAAAGAGTCACTCATGTGGCACCTTATCAAAAGCTTTTAGAAACCCAGGACATTGGAAGATGAAGTTTCCCTACATCAATTTGCATATTAAACTATATCAAATGTAAGGATTAATATTATTAAATCCTTAAAAAGGTTTAAGAGGTTGTCAAATTTTCTGAAGCTGTATTGACTATCATCAGATTACTTAAAGCTTCTTCTATTTTATTTCTGATTCTAGAGGTCAGGCTCATGAGTCTGTGCTTTGCCGCGTGTCGGCACGCTCAACACCGTCGATCACGCCATCCTCCTACATCGCCTGTTCTCCATTATCCACCTCAGTGGGACCACACTCGCTTAGTTCGAGTCCTACGCCAGTACTACATTTCTGCAAGTGACTTTTCTTCGCACTTCACCCCAAGGATCAATTCTTGGTCCCTTTTTCTTCTTCATCTATATGCGCCCTCTCGATGATGTCATCCGCAGACACGGGGTTAACTGCCACATGTATGCGGATGACACTCAACTCTACTTTTCCACCTCCATTGTTAAGCGCTCTGAGATGCCGCCCAGCGTTGAGGGCGCTATATGTGCAAGTTTTGTATTTGATATTTGTGACCTTCTCAAATATAAAAAATAAATGTTTCCATTTCAAGCCTGTCGGAAGATTCCCAGTATTCATTGAGTTCCGCAAAATGATCACCAGTTCACCTCTTTCTCTCACTCCTTCAGTTTCTCCTTTTAAACTCTTTTCAAATGCCACAGCCCTGGCACTCCTCAAAATCCATCATAACACTTAAGAGTATCCAAACCAGTGATAGTTCCAAATATGTATGCCACCTACACATGGAAATTACCCTGAGCCTGGAAATGGAATGCACCCTCTTCCCCTGCTTAAATAATTTTCGACAATTTTAGGCACAGTTCGGCGAGAGACAAGTCTGCAATTGAGTTGGAATTTAAATCAACTAAAACTGAACATTTCTGTGGCAATTGTGTGTCAGCATTTGTATTACTGTCTCTCTGAGTCAGAAGGTTGTGGATTGAAGCCCCATGTCAGAACTTGGAATCATATAATCTAAGCTGATGCTCTATTGCAGTGTTGGGATTGTGTTGCATTGTCGGAGGTGCCATCCTTTGGATGAGACGTTAAATCGAGGCCCTGTTCAGGTGGAAATTAAAGATCCCAAGGCACTATTTGAAAAGAGAAGCTAGTTTCTCCTGGCGACCCAGCCAACAAACCCCCCAAACACAAATTGGTCTCTCATGCCATGGCTGTTTGTGGGACACTGCTGTGTGCAAACTAGCTGCCAGAGTTCATCCACAAAATACATAATCAATCCACTTTACAGTATATCCTGTGAAGTGCTTTGAATTGTCTCTAAGGCACTATATCAACTGCAAGTATTGTTGTATTATTAAATAAGAACGAGAAATAAGCTTCATATGTTTTGCAACAATGATATTAAGGATATCTCACTAAGTAATTCAGACTGAACAATCATTCTTTAAGGGACAGGCAGCATTAGGCAAGAAAATGTTAGTGAAATAATTTTAATGGAAGCTACAATCTAATAAATTATCAAAAAGCGATAGGGTTTTACCTAAATAATCCTTTACTCTTTTTGTAAAATTAAATGTTTTAATCAGAAAATGTGTAACATAGCAAAAATTAACCATTAACCAAGCTATATTACCACTTATTGAAATGGATTATGCACATCCCTATCATATATGTAGTGCTGCACTTTGGCTCATACACATATAATGTTTTTAATTCTATGAAAATCATTCCTCACTGTTGTTGTCAGTTCCTCACCTTTCCTACAATAACAAAGCCATTGATCGTCTTTGAAATTACTATAAAAAANGTATTATGTAGTAGTTACAGTTCCAGGTCTCACAGGGACGACTTGTCAAGTAACAGAACCAGACTGCAGCCTTGTTGCCTTATGCAATGATATATTAATACTTAACAAATATGTGCTGTATCATTTTTTTACAAAATCATTCTAAAGCATAATCAGTACAATTTAGAGCAGCAAACATTCACTTGTGTGCACTATAATATAAGTGTCCTGAAGAAAAGGGCTTCCTATCCACACAACTGTTTGGCAGTGTTATTTGTTTTGAAATGAAATGTTTTAAGTAAAGGTGTAGTTTTCTTTGTACATACTGGATTCTTGTCGCACTTCAATTTTGTAAAAAGGTATCAGTTACTAGCTTCTGAAACCAATCCAGATCTTGTTTTATGCTTTATCTACTTTTGAAGCTGTTGCTCAGACAGCCCCCTTCAGTGTAACACCTGAGCTTATCACCTAGAATTATTAATCAGTGGGCTCTGAAAGGCAGCACTTTAGATAAAGAGTTCTGGCACTTGTAACCAAATGCTACTGTTGGGAGTGGGTGAATGAGGTTACTGAAACTTACAGGACTTGTTAACAACAGTATACTTATAGAATTACCAGAAAAACTGAGTCATTGACAGGATGTGAAGACTTTACAGAATTAGCTGTAAAGTCTAGAAGGTGAGAGTACATTGAATTCAATTGAATTACATTTTGATTCATTTTTAATTAGAACCGTTAATAATTGATTATTTCAGTACAAAAGGAAAGTTAATTGCACTGTTCTAATTCAATTCCACAGCTTGTAAATTGAAAATATTTTTACAGTGCTATTATCAATGGTTTTGCTTTTACATTGTAATAATGTAAACTTATTTTGTAATTGAATGAGTTATGCAATGTGCTTATCAAATGATCTTTTGTAACTTTTTTGAACAATACTTTATAACTGTAAGTTTAAATGCACAGCATAAATTCCACAATGGAATATTCTGTTGCTGGGATCTGTCATGTCACTTGTGTGATCGATAAGTCTACCTATGCATGAAAGGACATTGGTGCTATCTAAATTTAGTTCACAGAATACTGGAAAAGGTTTGTGGTTACATTGCCCCCTGAAGATCAATTATAGCACGTGGGCATGAAACTTTTCATTACCTGAAGAAACAAAAACCTTGTCTGGTCTACTAACTTCAAAATTCTATGGTCCTTTAGTGGTTTTCTGACTAACTTTTGCAATTGTAAGTGGGTGACAAACTAAATCACTTTCACAATCTCACAATGGTTAA